AGTAACCCTGTTTCCTAGAATATTGAAATTAATTCTGAATACTGCTGAGTTTCTATTAGTAAGGTTTGAATGACTATTTTTCAAATATCAATGCAATGGGAATATTCTCACTTAAGGTCATTTTCTCTTTGTTTCTACTTTATACAGTTGTTTCATAATTATAATAATGAATTTAAAATTTTCCCTTTGTTCAAACAGGAGTAATCAAAAAGGACTGACTAGTGAATATTCTAGGTTGGACAATGTTCATTGCTATACTATGGGCAGGGAAAAATATCTCTAATACTTCTAATAACTAATGATAAGGAAAACTTTTCTATCTGTATAATAAACTCCTAAGCTGCATATCAATCTGCTTCCTCACCTACCTCATTTAAATAATTTTTCAACTTATCACTCACAACTACTTGGAGATCTTTGTTCCTCATTAACATTATATGCCCTTTCTTCAAAAAGGTTGTATTATACTACAGGCTTTCTCTCGGTAAACCTCAGTTTTTTGGGGTTTTTTTGGAAACTTTCATGACACTGCATTCTCCAAGTTCTCACTTTTTTGTTTTGGCTTTTAATTATAAGTATTATACATAGAAGTATAGCCTTTCTGGAAAAATTTTAAGCACTGTAGCTAAAATTCCCTTTTCTGACTGACTACCGCTCAGTATTCCCTTTAAGTTTGATCCTTCCTGACTTTCCCTTCCCCATTTTATTTATTTATTTATTTATTTATTTATTTTTTGAGTTGCAGTCTCACTCTGTTGCCCAGACTGGAGTGCAGTGGCTGCTCCCGGCCACCGTAGCCTGGACCTGCTGGGCTCCAGCGATCCTTCTGCCTCAGCCTTCCAAGTAGCCGGAATTACAGGCATGCGCTACCACGCCTGGCTGATTTTTTTTTTTTTTTATTTATTGTAGAGATGAGGTTTCACTGCCCAGGCGGATCTCGAACTCGTGGGCTCAGGCAATCCACTCACCTCAGCCTCCCAAAGGCGCGGGATTACAGGCTGAGCCACCGAGCCTGGCTCCCTTCCCAATTTTAAAAATAATACTTTTACATGCCTAGCTACAGAAGATATAAACTTATGTTTCTCATACGTAAACTATACAGACTGGTTTACAACTTACTTTCACTTATTGTTTTGAGAGCTATTTATGTTGATAAATATAGATCTAGTTCATTCTTTTAAAACTATTGTACAGAAGTGGGCAAGTAACCACTGATCTCAATTTTCCACCATTGTTTTGCTGGTTTGTTCCTCAAGTCTTCATTAAATTGTACAAGGGCAAGTATATCATTCAAAGCTCATTGTCTGATTTTGTGCTATCTTTTTCAAGGCTTACTTCCTTAAAAAGACTGTCTGCTTTCTCAATGCTTTATTAACTCTCTATGTTAAGAATTCCTAAATCCCAATCCCCATGGCCAACTGTAATCAAACTGAATCTCAATTCAAGCAACTCAAAAATACCTGCTGTAGACTATCTCTTGAAATGCATGATACCTAAACTTTTGTACTGACTAAACCTCAATAGGCCAAAAAAAAAAAAAAAAAAAAATGATGGATAATGGTGTGGAGAACAGTGAATGTGGAAGTAAGAAAATCCTTTAGTATGCTATTAATATAACAGATCAAGAAAGAAATAATGTGGCACCGAATAGAGACAAGAAATAGAACTGATGGACTTGGTGATCAAGGTGAGGAACATGAGAAGAAGGGTCAAGATGACTTTGCCATTCTCTCACCTCAGCCTCCCAAAGTGCTGGGTTTACAGGCTTGAGCCACCATGCCTGGTCTGACTTGAAGATATCTTGTTTGTGTAACTGGATATCTTTGAGTGAGTTTCATTCAATTAGGGCTGGGAATATTGAAGGGGATGATCAAAAGTCTGGTCTTTAAAATGTTAAGCCAGAGAAGCCTCCATGACATCAAGGTGAAGATTCATTAGCTGGGTGGATATGGGTCTGAAGTTGAAAAGGAGACCTAATTATAAGTGATAAGTGATAAATGAATGCATGAGAGTGGAGGAAACTGACTTAAACTGGCACAGAGTAGAAAAGAACTTAGGAAGAAAAAGAAAAAACAAATACATAACACAAAAATAAATCCATTACTTACCTTCTTCTCAACATGGGTCTCCTTCCAAGCCTCTCCATTTTTATCAATGGGCCTATCTTGGCTTACATTTTTCCTACTCCTTAGGCTTCTATATTTAGTCACTGCATAGCAGAATGGTTAAAACCATGAAATCTGAAGCAGTATGTCTTTGGAATCATCAAAATTCTACTCAACTACTTATTAGCTATGTGATCTTGAACCACTTTGCTTCAACTTTCCCATCCATCAATTCCCATCTATCAAATTACTTCACAGGGTTGTTATGGAAAAATAAATTGAGTTAAAATTTTTTTTTTTTTTTTTTTTGAGTTGGAGTCTCACTCAGTCACCCAGACTGGAGTGCAGTGGCCGCTCCCAGCCACCACAGCCTCGACCTGCTGGGCTCTGGCATCCTTCCGCCTCAGCCTTCTGAGTAGCTGGAACTACAGGCACGCGCTACCATGCCCAGCTAATTTTTTGATTTATTGTAGAGATGAGGTCTCGCCAAGTTGCCCAGGTGGGTCTCGAACCTGCGGGCTCAGACAATCCACTCACCTCAGCCTCCCAAAGGCGCGGGATTATAGGCTGAGCCACCGAGCCCGGCAAATTTTTTTTTTTTGAGTTGGAGTCTCACTCTGTCATCCAGGCTGGAGTGCAGTGGCACACTCATCACCACCTCAACGTTGACCTACTGGGCTCTGGTGATCCTTCTGCCTCAGCCTTCCAAGTAGCCAGAACTACAGGACCACGCTACCATGCCCAGCTGACTTAAATTTTTAAAGAGCTTAGAACAGCACCTGGTATGTGCTCTATAAGCGTGTGGTTTACTCTATAAGTAAACAAATAAAGCCCATAAATTTTCTTTGTGAAATCCTTTATGTGTCATTTTCTCATTCCTATTTAATACCAAAACAGTTGACGTGCCCACTATTTCATGTAGCATCACCTCATCACGCTACTAAAATTGCTTTTTATGAGGTCACTAATGACCTCTTTTTTTTTTTTTGAGTCGTAGTCTAGTGGGGCACTCTCAAGGCCACCACAACCTCGACCTCCTGGGCTCAGGCAATCCTTTGGCCTCAGCCTTCCAAGTAGCTAGAACTACAGGCGTGTGCCACCACTCCCGGCTAATTTTGTTTGATTTACTGTAGAAACAAGGTCTCGCCAAGTTGCCCAGGCTGGTCTCAAACCTCTGGGCTCAGGCAATTCTCTTACCTCCACCTCCCAAAGTGCTGGGATTACAGCTGTGAGCCACTGCACCTGGCCCACAAATGACCGCTTAAGAGATAAATGCAACCTTTTTTTTTCTCATTCCCCAGATATTCTGCATGAATTGGTCCTGTGAACTCTCCTCAAAATTCTCTTCATTTCTTGATCTTTTTGGCTGCTGGAATACTTTATACTTTATCTTACACTTTATCTTCTACCTCTGTTTCTGCTATTGTACTACTATTAGTTCCAGTTTCTCTTTTTGCTTCATAAATGCAACAAACACCCCTCTCATTTTCTTCTTTCTCAGTACTCCCTTCCTGATGTCAGCATTCCCATGGCTTCAACTTCTGTGCTGATAACACAAACCTTTACCTATGGCCTCAATGTTTAGGCTGAGCTACAGATTTGCATTTCCAACTCTATGCTGGACAGCTCTAGGTGGCTATCCCAAATTCAACATGTCCAAAAAATGAATTTTTAATCTACACTAAGCTTATGATTTCATTACATCAACAATCTTCAAATGCCAGAGGCCTACACTTAAGAATTAAATTTAGTCTCTCTCACTTTTTCAACATCCAGTCAACTATGGAGTCTTGATATAATCATCTCCAGCACACTTGTCTCCTTTCCAATAACACCATTATAATGGTATTTCAGGACTTCAATATTTCTCACCAGGCTGATCCCATTACTCCTTCAAAAGAATCTCCAATAAGAGTTCCATGCCTTTAGCTAAAGTGCCCAGATTTAGTTAATAGAAACTCCTTCTTTATAGGCTTTCTATAGAAGAAAATGACGTTCTGCAGGGCAAATCTAACCAAATCAGTCTCCTGCTCAAAACTCTTCAAAAAATTATCCATCTCCTTTAGGATTAAACCTTTCACTATATGGACCCTAGTCTACTTTCTCAGCCTCATATCCCATCCTGTGCACAAGAGAACCCCCATTTCTTCCTCTTCCCACACAACTATGCTCATAGAATTCCAACTGTTCCTACGGCCTGGAAAGTTCTTAAACAATTTATCCTTGCCAAGAAGTATAATTCAGACGTCAATTTATTTCTAAAATCCTCTCAGGAACTGCCCCTTGAACAGTTCATACAAATAAGACAGAAATATATATACACAAATATGTATGTACGTATATACATACACATATACAGAATATATATAAAACAAGGGGCACTTATTTGTTTATATCTGGCTTTGGAATTTGACCCTGAAAACTGGAAGTATATCTCACGAATCCCCAGTACCCGGTATAGCGCCAGTGCTGCGGCCAGTGGTTGAATTGGAGGAAACCTCAGAAAAAGGGTAACCAAGCACTCATATTGATTCTTTCCGACTAGCACTGAAGGCCTTGCCTTGGGCTGGTTCCCGAAGCGCGTTTTCTCAGGATCTCAGCTCTGGCACTTCCTACAAGATGCCAGAATCCGGCCTCCAAGCCAATTGCCGGGCCCTCGCTGGGATCCCAAGAGGCGGTTCCTGGGCATCCTCAGGCTCCCGGTGCCAGCCACAGAGACGAGAAAGGGGCGGGGCGCAGCGTGGGCCGGGCCAAGGACTCCTCAAGTCCCCAGGGGCCTAGGCCAGCCTCTAGGCCCCCGTCCCAGTGCGGGTCCCGGACGATCCAGCGCCCCAAGGGGGTTCTATTTTGAGACCCCGCACCCCAGCCCGGCGTTCCGGCCGCCTCAGCACTTACAGACCCGGGGGAAGGCCGCCGTCACGATCCGGCACCACCAGGAGCTCCGGCCCCTCGGGGCTCCGGGAAGGGGGAGGGGCAGGGAACCCGAGCCAAAGGGGGACCCAACGGAACCGGAAGGGCAGCCCTGGCCGGACAAGACAACTTCCAGGTCCCATGGTTCTCTCCGCCAATCGGAAGACTCGGAGGACAACGGGGCCCCGAGAGGGACTTTCCGCGTTGTGGACGGGGTGCGGATTGAGTGACCTTTTGGCGCTAGCGTCTCTGCCGACTGGTAAGAGGTGCGGTGGGTTGTTAGTGGTGCCTGCTCCGGCGCTGTGCGCTTCGCAAGGATTAGCTGCCCCGGACTCCCTTCTCAGCGATTCGTCTGGAGCTGGGAAAAGAGCTCCTTTGGTAGATCCTTGGTAGATCCCTCCCGCCTAGGGCTGTGGACTCACGGGGCGGGAGCCGGAAAAACCGAAAGCGCTGCACTCTCTTTTGGATGTGTTTTTCAGAGATCGTGCCCTGGGCGTCTTCTTCTTTCGTACCCATTCCTAGGGCAATCTCTTGTATTCCCGTGGCTTCTGTTAACCGACAACATGTTGACCATTTGCAGCCCAGACAATGGTCCAGAGCTAACTATCTAGAAGAGAGCTTCAATTGATTGTCTTAATTTTGTTTTGTTTTTTGTTTTTGAGTTGGAGTCTCAACTCTGTCGCCAAGGCTGGAGTGCAGTGATACGCTCATGGCCACCCCAGTGTCTATTTGCTGGGCTCCGGCGATCCTTCCGCCTTTGCCTTCCAAGTATTCGGAACTACAGGCGCGCTAACACGCCCGGCTAATTTTTTTGATTTATTGTAGAGACGAGGTGTCGCCAAGTTGCCCAGGCTGTTGTCGAATTCGTGGGCTCAGGCAATCCCCTCACCTGGGCCTTCCAAAGTGCTGATTACATACAGGCTTGAGCTACCGCGCCCAGCCTGTTGCCTTAATGTTAATGTAACTTTTAATTATCTCAGATTCATTTCCACAACTGCTTCTGCTGATTTGTCGTCTTTGTGTTGGCGAACGGCATCATCCATAGAGTTCTTTTCCTTGCCAGCTCAACTGAGTTCTCCTTTTTCTTCGGGGGGGGGGCGCTTTTATTGTAATAAAACTTGTAATATTTATCACTTTAATCATTTGTAAGTGTAAAGTTTGATGGCTTTAAGTACATTCACAATGTACACCATCACCACTAACTATCCCCAAATTTATTCTTTTGCATGTGGATATTGTTTTTCAGTGTTATTTGTTGAAGAGACTGTCCTTTCCCCATTGAGGGTTCTTGGAATCCTTGTTGAAAAACAATTGACCCAATACATGAGGGCTTATTTCATGACTTTCTATTCAAGTACCTTGATCTATATACCTGTCCTTGTGCTAATATCATACTTTTTTTTTTGAATTGGAGTCTCATTCCATCGCCCAGGCTGGAGGGCAGTGACATACTCACAGTCACCCTAGCATCGCCCGGCTAGGCTCCAGCAATCCCTCTGCCTTAACCTTTCAAGTAGCTGGAACTTAAGGCGCATGCTACCATGCCTGGCTAATTTTATTTTATTTTATTTTTATTGTAGAGACTAGGGCTTGCCAAGTTCCCCGGGCTGGTCTCGAACTCTGGGCTCAGGCAATCCTCTCACCTCGGCCTCCCAAAGTGCTGGGATTACAGGCTGAGTCACAGAGCCTGACCCATACTGTTTTAATTACTGTAGCTTTGTAATAAGTTTTGAAGTCGCCAAATGTGAGTCCTCCAACTTTAATCTTTTTCAGGATTATTTTGACTGTTTGGAGCCTTTTGCAATTCCATGTGATTTTGAGGACTGCCTTTTCCATTTCTTCGAAAAAGGCTTTTGGAGTAGGGATTGCGCTGAATCTGTAGATCCCTTTGGATAGTACTGTATTGGCATATTAACAATTTTAAGTATTTCTGTCCATGAATACTGAATGCCTTTCCATTTATTTGGTCTTCATTTTATTTTTTTCGGCAATATTTTCTAGTTATCAGACTATTTAATTCACTTAAATGATATTTCATATGGAATTGCTTTCTTAACTTTACTTTTTTTTTTTTTTTTTTGAGTTGGCGACTCACTCTTGCTCAGGCTGGGGTGCAGTGGCCTGATCATGGCCACCACAGCCTTGACCTGCTGGGCTCAGACCTCAGCCTGATCCTTCCACTTCAGGCTTCCAGGTAGCTGGAACTACAGGCGTGCGTTACCATGCCCGGCTATTTTTTCTTGATTTATTGTGAAATGAGATCTCACCATGTTACCCAGGCTGGTCTGGAACCCCTGAGCTCAGACAATCCTCTTGCCTCGGTCTCCCAAAGTACTGGGATTACAGGCATGAGCCTCTGCACCCAGCCTAACTTTTCATATTTTTAATTGCAAGTGCATAGAAACTTTTGATTTTTTTTTTGTAGATCGATCTTGTATCCTGTAACTTTGCTGAATATATTAGCACTAGTAGCTTTGGGATTTTTTTTTAAACATAAGATAGTGTCTGTGAATAGAGATTATTGTTTTCCTTTTTTTTTTGAGTTAGATTCTCACTCTGTCTCCCAGGCTGGAGTGCAGTGCCTCGCTCATGGCCACCGCAGCCTTGACCTGTAGAGCTCAGGAGATCCTTCTGCTTCAGCCGCTTCAGCCTTCCATGTAGCTGGAACTTCAGGCACACACCACCACACCTAGCTAATATTTTGATTTATTATAGAGATGAGGTCTTGCCATGTTGCCCAGGCTGGTCTCAAACCCTTGGATTTAGGCAATCCTTTCGCCTCTGCCTCCTACTGTTGCTGGGATTACACGTGTGAGCCTCTGCACCCGTTTTTTTTTTTTTTAAAATAAATACAAGGTCTTTGTATCTATTTTTTGTTGACCAGACTGTTCTAGAGCCGCTGGTCTCAAGCTGTCTTCTTGCCTTAGCCTCCCAAAGTGCTAGGATTACGGGAGTCAACTGACATGCCTGGCCCAATTTGGATACTTTTAATTTCTTTCTCTTGGTAGGGCTCAGTGGCTCAGCCTGTAATCCCAGCACTTCAGGAGGTGGAGGTGAGTGGATTGCCTGAGCCTGCGGATTCGAGACCAGCCCAGGTCTCCACTGCACTCCAGCCTGGGCAACAAGAGTGAACTCCAACTCAAAATAATAATAATAATAATTTCTTTCTGTTGTCTAATAGCTCTGGCTGAAACTTACTGTACACTGTTAAATAGCAGCAGTGAAAGTGGGCATCCTTGTCTTATTCCTGATGTTAGTGGGAAAACTTTATATCTTAAACCATTGAGTATGATGTTAGCTGTGGGTTTTTCACAAATACTTTTAGTATTTTGAGGAATTTTTACTTTTTCCCTAGTTTTCTGAAAGATTTTATTATGAAAAAGTGTCAGATTCTGTCAGATTCCTTTTCTGCATCAGTGAGAAGGTCAGGTGATTTCTCCTCCCCCAGTTGCTCCCCCCCCATAGGTTTGCTGTATTACATTGATTTATTTTATGGTGAACCACCCTTGCATTCTTGGGATGAGTCCCACTTGTTCATGGTGAATACTTATTTTAATATGCTGTTAAATTCAGTATGTTTATATTTTGTTGAGGATTTTTGCATCTATATTCATAAGGGATAGTGGTCTGTAATATTTTTCACGTGTGATGTATTTATCTGTTGTTGTTATCAGGGTAATGCTGGCCTCAGAGTGTGTCAGGAAACTTTACCTCTTTAATTTTGCAAAAATTTCTACTTGGAAGGCTGAGGCGGAAGGGTCGCCGGAGCCCAGCAGATCGAGGCTGCGGTGGCCGGGAGCGGCTACTGCACTCCAGTCTGGGCGACAGTGAGACTCCAACTCAAAAAAAAAAAATTTTGCAAAAATTTGTGAAGAATTTTTTTTCCTTGAGTAAATGATTTTTTTTTTTTAACAAATGAGTATATTAGTAATTTGTATTATAAAGGTTTGTTGTACAAGTTAATTTTTTTGTGTGTATGAGTCGAGGTCTCACTCTGTCACCCAGACTTGAGAACAGTGGCATACTTACAGTTTACTGCAGCCTCAGCTTCCTGTGCTCAGGTGGTCCTTCTCTCTCAGCCTCTCCCCTGGAAGAGCTGGAGTAGCTGGTACTACAGGCATGCACCACAATGCCCAGCTGATTTTTAAATTTTTTTGTAGAGAAAAGGTCTCACTATGTTGTCCAAGCTAGTCTCAAACTCCTGAGCTCAAGCAATCCTCCTGCCTTGGCCTCTCAAAGTGCTAGGATTACTGGGTTGCGCCACTGTGCCCAGCCCCCTTTAGCATTTCTTGAAGGACAGAAATGTTAACAAACTTCCTCAACTTTTGTTTATCAGGGAATATCTTAATTTCTCCCTCATTTTTGAAGTACAATTTTGCCAGATATAGTATTTTCTAATAACAGGGGTTTTTTTTCTTTCAGTACTTTGAATATATCAACTTATTGCCTTCAGGCTTCCAAGGTTTCAGATGATAATCTTATTGGCTGATAATCTTATTGAGACCCCTGGTATGTAACAAAATTGTCTGTTGCTGTTTTCAAGATTCTCTTTGTTTGACTTTCAACAGTTTAATTATAATATGTTTGATGTAGGTCTCTGAGTAGTTCTACTACTCCGTGTGATGAACTTACTGGATTTGTATGTCATCTCGTTCATAAAATTTGGAGAGTTTTGACCATTATTTCCTGAAACATTCTTTCTGCCCTTTCTTCTCCTTTGTAACTCCCAGTTTGTTGTTTGTCCTCTTGATGGTATCTCATAGGTCCCTTAGGCTCTGTTACTGTTCACTTTTCTTCACTCTTTTTCTTTCTATTCTTCAGATGGAGTAGAAATCACAAGGAGTCTGTCTCTCCACCAAGACAACTGTACTCGCAGAAACTCTCTGAAGTAACTGTTTTGGAACCCTGGAGTCTATTCGAATGCTTGCATCTTCCAGGGGAGAGTCTAGCTGGTAAATTGGGGTTGATGCCAGTCATTATCAGCATTTAGTGTAAAACAGCTAGTCATTCATGGTCTTTCAACTCTATGACAAGCAGTTTTGCCCACATTCCTGGTGTGGCTTGTTGGAGCCAGGGTAGGCAAGAAGAACTTTGTCTTCCGACTACCCTCTTTGTATGTTCTGGTCACTGATTACTGCTTTTGATCACTGAGTTTCAGGCACAGAGGCTGGCTGCCATTACTTCAATCCCTTTCAGATGAATTGACCTTCAGGGGTTTTAAAGGAATAGTTTTGTTTGTTTGTTTCCCCATCACCCCATTTGGAAGGCAGACATTTAAGGATTGGGATATTCAAAAGCAACCACTTAGGCCGGGGAAAGTAGAAAGTTACTGCATATAACCAGGGAAAGAAAAGACCTGAGAGACCTTAAACTTTCACCTTAGGCAGATCCTAACCATCAGCACAGAGACCATCAAGAAAACAGCAAACCTAGGGTCATAAGGAAAGTCTGGATTTTCAGTGTCATCACATCATAAGATTAAAATGTTCAGTTTGTAGCAAATCACTAGACATGCAAAGAAACAGGAAAGCATGGTCCACTCAAAAGAACAAACAAACAGTCCTTGAGGAAGCACAGATGTCTGACTTAGTAGACAAAAACTTTATTTTTTTATTTTATTAATGAATTTATTTATTTCGAGTCAGAGTCTTACTCTGTCACCCAGGCTGGAATGCAGTGGCACGCTCACAGCCACCACAGACTCAACCTGCTGGGCTCAGGCGACCCTCTGCCCAGCCTTCCAAGTAGCTGGAACCACAGGTGCATGTCACCATGCCCGGCTAATTTTTAAACTTATTTTAGATATGAGTTCTTGCCAAATTGCCCAGCTGGTCTTTAACGCGTGGGCTCTGGCAATCCTGTCACCTCTGCCTCCCAGAGTTCTGGGATTACAGGCATGAGCTACCATACCCAGCAACAAAAACTTTAAAACACCCGTTTTGAAGTTGCTCAGCTAACTAAATCAAGACATGCGTGAAATGAGGAAAATGATGTATGAACAAAATTAGAATATCATTAAAGAGAAAACTTACAAAAAGAGGAACCAAATGAAACTCTGAAGTTGATAACATGAAAAGTTTACTAGAGGAGTTCAGAAGCAGATTTGAGCAAGCAGAAGAAATAATCAGCAAACTTGAAGATGTTTATTTTAAAATACCTCTGGAACCCTGCCCTCTTTTTTTTTCTACTTCTTTAGTGAAAGCCTTTCTGATCCTAGGCAGTTTCTAAACTATGCTATCTGCCTCCTGTATTCCCTGGTTTATTCCTACTAGAGTTATTTATTTATTTATTATATTTATTTCAGTAGCCTTAGGGGGTACAAATAGTTTTTGGTCTGGATTTTAAATGTTCTTATCACCTCCACCTGTGCACGTTGTACCAGATAGGTGAATTTTTGTCTTTCTATCTCTTCCCCTTCTGAGTTTCCAGTGTCCATTATACCATTCTCTCTGTCTTTATGGATCCTTAGTTTAGCTCCCACTTATTAGTGAGAACATGCAGTGTTTGCTTTTCTGTTCCTGAATTAGTTCACTTAGAATATTCTCCAGTTCCATCCAAGTTGTTTTAAAGACATTATTTCATTCTTTTTGATAGCTGAATAGTATGCCACATTTCCATTAACTGGTGTGATTTTAAAAAGAAAAGTTTAATTCATTATTGTCACTGACCTTAAAAATATCCAAGGGTACTCTTGTGTCCATAGAGTGAATTTCAGTTTTCTTATTTTAGCATTCAAGGACCTTCCATTCTGACTTTAACCCATCACATTGCTTTATCTCCCAACAGCCCCATATTCCACTCATATGCTGTAGCCACACATTTTAAGTTATGAAGCCACTTGCTAAAAAAAGTTGAGCATATTTAAAAAACCAAAATTAATTTTCTGTGAATCAGATATTAGAATACATGGCATTGAAAGAATATAAGAAGTCTATTTTTAAAATGGACTTCCTTGGAGAGACCTCATCTCTACAATAAATCAAAAAATTAGCCAGACATGGTGGCATGTGCCTGTGGTTCCAGCTACTTGGAAGACTGAGGCAGAAGGATTGCCTCAGCCCAACCCAGCAGATCGATGCTGGGGTGGCTGTGAGCATGCCATTGCACTCCAGTCTGGGTGATGGAGTGAGACTCCAATTTAAAAAAAGAATACTCCGTGATAAAAATAGCATATATATCATCAGTACAGTGGTCATCACTGGCAACACTATATTAGATACAATACATAATATTTAACTAATATAATGAAACAGGAAGTATAGCACGACATTACATATGAGGTTACTAATCCAAAATGTTTGAATTGAATCCATTGAGCCTTCAAATGTATCTTCCAGTTTTCAGGAAATACAAGGTTTACAGGAACAAATTGACTTCTTGAAACAATCACTCAAATCCAGAAATTTTGCTCTTCAATTGTCCTGCTTTCTGGAGTGAGCCAGAAGCTTTTCATTTCTTCAGGTGCCATATTTAGAAAGACTTAAAGGATATAACCAGATGTAATGTATGGTCCTGGATTAGATACTGATTTGGGAATATTTGTTGCAGAAAAATATAATTTGGTCAACAGAATGTTGTATTATAGTTAGGTATTAGATGAGGGGATATTTCCTGAAATGATATTACTGATTTATGAAAGCCAGCTGTAAAAATATTTTTAGGTTGACAGAAGTTTGTGATGTAGGTATTAGATGAGGGAAATTTATTGAAATAAGATAAATATTGTTAATTTTAAAAAACGGATTACTAAACTATGTGGTCTTGTTTTGAAAAAATATGTACATATACAAAATTTATACACTAAAGTATTAACATTGGTGGTGAGAATGTGGTGTGTTTATTTTTTATTTTAACTTGTCTGTTTTTTTTTTCTCCATGGCATATTGTACTATTGTGTAATAAAGTTTTATATAAAAATATGTTGATTTACATACATATTTGAGTATACATATGAATCAAGAAATACATGAAAGTATGGTCACCAAAATGTTAAATGTGGTTTTGTGGAGTTCAGGGGATTTTACTTTCTTCTAATACTTTATTATTTGAATACCTTTAAATGGGTCTATGTTATGTAACTATATAAGAAGAAAAGAGGTAAAACGATTTTCCTGCAGATGTACAGCCACATCTGTTGTAAAAAACAAATCACAAAAACGAGACTGTAACAAAACACAGTTTTGTTTATACTGCCTTTTCTCTGGTTGACTTGGATGCTTATCCATCAGAACACTGCAGATGACTCATTCACCAAGAAAAGAGCACATGCCTTTTGAATCTAGAAAGAGGAAAAGTAGGGGAAAGGCTGTAGAAAAGTTTTATAATTATCAAGTCTTATGAGCCAGGTGCAGTAGGGCATGCAGGTAATCCCAACTATTCAGAAGGCTGAGGCATGAGGATAGCTTGAGCCTGGGAGTTCAAGATTACAGTGAGCTATGATTGTGCCACTGCACTCCAACCTAAGCAACACAGGGAGACCGCCTCTCTTAAAAAAAAATAAGACTGAAATAGCACCTTTAATAATTATTGTTTTGATTCCTAATTATATTGTAAATTCATTGAAGACAGGGACTTTGAGTTTCAACTTCATTATATTGCTGTAGATTTCACCTTTGTTGTTTGGTTTTTGTTGTTGTTGTTTAGACAGGGTCTCTGTTGCTGGGGCTAAAGCATGGTGGCACAATCACAGCTTACCACAGTCTCGCTCTTCTGGACTCCGGTGATTTTTCTGAATAGCTGGGACTACAAGCACATGCCACCACGCTCAGCTAATTTTATTTTTTTATAGAGACGAAGTCTTGCTATGTTGGCTGGTTTTGAACTCCTATGCTCAAGCAATTCTTCTGCCTCAGTCTCCCAAAGTGCTGGGATTACAGATGTGAGCCACAAGCAATCGGCCTGAATTAGTTTAAAATAAAATCTCATTTTTAAGAAATGGACCTTGCTCATTTATCCTTTTCTGTGCCTTAAATACCCCAAGTCAGCTGTTTTGTCCCAGCTGATTTTGGACCGGAGAGTTAGAAGTTTTGCCTTCTAGACTGGATTCTGTAACTTAGACTGCACTACTCTATAAACGAGAAGAATCATACTGTTATTGAGACGCCAGTCAGGGGTCCTGTTGCTCCCCGCACAGAAAGCCAACCACTGAAATCAAATGAGTATTTCCAGGCTTTTTTTTATTGGGTGATATAAGCCTAGGGGAAAGTATCATTCTTAATTTGTCTCCCTTATCCTACTGAAGTTCAGAGTTTATACAGTGGGGCAGGAATGTAGAAAATAGGAATAGAGAGGGGGTAAGGAAGAGGACTGGGTAAACTGGAATTGGGGAGGGGTAAGCAAGAGGAGTTGGTAAACAAAGGATCTGGCCTCTCTGCGTGATCTGTGAGTTTCCGTTTCTTTATACTACAGGCATGAGGGTTGATTTCCTGAGAAAAGAACTGAAGACAATGACTTTCAAGCTTTAAGCTCAGGAAGCTCAGTTTCTGTGCTTATTCAGAAAACTTGTGACCATTAGTTCTGTGGGGACGTTGGCCTGGTTTCAGTGCCATTCTCATAGGTTTGTGGTAAAGCGGAAATGAGATATATCCATCAAAAGACCTATCACAATCACTGGCACACTACACCCTCAATAAAAGCCAGGTTAATTAAGTCACACTGTTAACGGCTGATTTTCAAACAGTACTGATTTCCAAAGGTGAGCGGGGGAATTCCTTGTTCTAGCACCAGTATTCTTTGCAGTCTTTCCCCCCCCCCCCCCCCCCCCCCCCGCTTAGGCTCAACAGGTGATTCTTAGTCCGCTCCCACCGCCGCCAGTCCCTCTCTCTCCCAGTCCAGCTGCAGTCACATAGTTGCCTGTTCAAGCCCAGACAGCCCTAGGTCCTGCTCCCATCCTTTGCATTTCGCGCAGGCGTTCAGTAGTCCTGAGGCGGACTGAAATCTCAGATGGGGCTCCGAGAAAAGGGAGCCCCGCCTCGCTTCCAGGTGTTGGGCCAATGGGGCCACTCGTCATGACCGTCAGCCTATGAGACAGGGCAGAAGGCGGGACAGAGGACGGAAGAAGCCGCTCTCACGTGAGTAGGGGGGCGGGGAGGGCGGGGGCAGGGCAGCTGGGGAGGCCCAGGCGGCGGAGCCTCCGGGACGCCGAACGGCGGGCGGCGGAGGAGGAGACGGCGGGTCGGGTAGGGCCGCGTTTCCCCTCCTTCTACCCTCCTATCCACCAACCCCGGGAGGACTTTCCGACGGCAGCTGCGGGAGCCAAGCTTTCTTCTTGTCCCGCGGGGCTCGGCCAGTGGGGATGCGTTCAGTTCCCTGGACGGGCCGAGTTCTGAGGGGAGCCGTGATTGGGGGAGTGGGGGGGGGGGGGAACTGCGACGGAGGGGAGAGGGCGCATGCGCAACCTGGAACGCTCCTGGAGCCCCTGCCCAAACCGGTTCCCCCTGTCTGTCTTTGCAGTCCTGCGTATTTGGCAGTCCCCCCGCCCCCCCCCCCCCCCCCCCCAGCAAAGCCTGTTTGTGTCTTGATTTTCACGCTTTAGGCTTGATCCTGTTTGGGAATTCGTACGTTCCCTCCGCCTCAATTTCTCTCCATTGCCCACTAGGCCAGTGTCTGTGACTTAGGCTGGCTTGGGCTCAGCCTGGCTTCCTGGGCTACGCCTAATTTGAAACACTTGCTTTCTTTCAGTGTCGCTCTGCCATCTCAGGTTAGTCTTTATAAAAAGTATCCTAGGCATCCCACTCTTCCATCTACTCGAAGCATCTGCCCCAATACCTCATTGCTGTGTCTTTTGATTCTCAGTAGCCTTTAGAGTTTGAGTGTTGAGCCAAGGTTTACTCCAGACTTTCAGGAGTTCGCTGTCCATTGCTTGGTAGTACTTTGGTCCCTGCTTTTCTAACATCTAATACTATTTATCATCTGCTCCTGTTTTACATGCATCTCCATATCTAGGGTTATTCGAGGATTCTTTTCTTGGGAGCAAATGTCCTAGGAGACCGTGTTGAGTGATCTTGCTACTAGTGTTCCCGCTACTAATACTCCGTTAGTTAAAATCATGTTCCAACTTGAGTTTGAGATCCTTTGACTTTTGTCATTTTTTATGGGAGGGAATGTCAGGGAAAGGGTTTCACAATTCATTTGCTGTTTCCATTCAAATTGGCCTCTGTATTCACATGCATGTGTCTGGAGTAGTAAGTTGTGTGTCTGTGTGTGTTTCCAGGTGCTTTAGAAAAAAAGGAAGGTGACTAGAACTGTCACATTAAATTGATGTAGTGGGGAAAAAGCTTAAGTACCAAGTGATCATCCACCTTTTTTTTTTTTTCTTAAGGGAAGGACTTTTTTTTCTTAAGGGAAGCCTTAATTCAAGTTTGATAGGGTGCTATTTAATGTATGTTGAAGACTTTTAAGTAGAGCTTACTAGTAAGAACTGAAAATGAATAGAGGAGAAAGATCTGTGTACTCTTCCTTTGAAGACGTCAGTTTGCATTATTAAAATTTGAATCCATGATTGATTTGTATGTATTGATAACATTTAAAATTCACATGTAGCCGGGTGCGGTGGGCTCACACCTGTAATCCCAGCACTTTGGGAGGCAGAGGCTAGAGGATTGCCAGAGTCCAAGGGTTCGCGACCAGTCTGGGCAACTTGGCGAGACCTCTTCTCTACAGTAAATAAAAAAATTAACCCGGTGTGGTGGCATGTACCTGTAGTTTCAGCTACTTGAAAGGCTGAGGAAAGGGCAACCCCCTTGGGTCCCCTCCCATTGTGGAAACTTTTCTGTCCTCTCAATAAATCCTGCTTTAAAAAAAAAAAAAAAAAAAAAGACTGAGGAGGAAGGATTGCTTGAGCCCAGAAGGTCAAGGCTGCGGTGGCCGTGAGTGTGTCACTGTACTCCAGCCTAGGGGACAGAGTGAGATTCTGATTAAAAAAATAAATTTCACATTAATACAAAATAATACTAATAATTCAAACTCATTGTTGAAATATTGCTATTTTGTAGTACACTTCCTTTTCATTGTTTCAGTTTCTAGTTCAATTTACAGTTAACTCTGGCATTAATAGGGTATATATTTGTTTGGAAAGTTAACCTATCAGCCATATTTATTTTGGCATTTTTGGTATAGTATTTTGTCAGCGGTTTACAAGTGATTAAATAGTAATGTAGCTGAGCTGTGCAAAAGTGAGCACTTGTTTTTTACTTTTTTGAGTGTTTTATGCACATTATCTATATGAAGGGATGTGATTTTCCACACACTATAACTTAACAACCCAGCAGATTCTTTTAAAGAAATGATTATCTTCTCTTCAGTGTATTTCCAACTACAGGAAAGCCTATTTTGAAGGTCTCATTCTTTTCCAGTAATTGTTTTAACAAGTAACTTGTGAATGCAGGTTTGAGAAAATTATTAGTTTAAATCAGTGCTAAAAACACTGCATAAAAACACTGGTGTGCTAAGGTTCAGATATGGGCTGCTCATAATGTTATCTTTGTAATTTTCAATATAATCATATATTATTAGACTTCTCAAGCATGTAAAATAAATGAATACATCACTTTTCTTGAAGATAGAACTCAAATATTATTTTAAAAGTGCTAATGTGGCCAGTTGCAGTGACTCAAGCCTGTAATCCTGGCACTTTGGGAGGCCAAGGTGAGAGGATTGACCAAGGCCACAGGTTCAAGACCAGCCTGGGCGACTTGGTGAGCCCTCATCTCTACAATAAAGCAAAAAATTAGCTGAGTGTAGTGGTGTATGCCTGTAGTTCCAGCTACTTGGAGGCTGAGGCGGAAGAATCACTTGAGCCCAGCAGGTTGACGTGGCGGTGACCGTGAGCATGCCACTGCACTCCAGCCTGGGCGCCAGAGTGAGACTCCAACTCAAAAAGAAAAGAAAATATTGCTAATGTAACTAATGTACATAAAGCAGAGTTTGGCGTGATGTTTTGGCACTTTGTATGTAATTACCTTGTTTTGCTGATTTTCCATAGTTAGATCCCGAGGAAAGAACATCCAAGGTTAAGGACTTCATGCCCATTGATATACCTGAAAAAACACCATATCAATGTCAAAGCTAATTTTTTTTTTCTTAGCATAAACTGGTTATCTAGTCATTCCTACCACCCTTATCCCTCTCAGTTTTGTGTTGCTCCTGAGATGATTATTTTTTAGAAAACTTGTGTTCCCTTACTTACACTTTTAGGTACTGGATAAACATTAAAGCTTCTATTGTAACCACTCGTGTTGACCCAACCAGCCTTGTTACTCTTAATATGCAAAGACTGACCAAATATGGAAGTGTGCAAGTCCTGAACACATTAGTTTATAGAACTTGGCCTGGAAGTTTCCCTTCTCTTCCAAGTCAACCATAATATTTTGAGGTAGTCATCAGTGAGAATTTTTTGAAGATTGTTCTATTCATCAGAGTGTAGAGCTTTGTAGGACCTAATGTTTCTGCCCCCAAAATCCCTTTTTTTGATAACTAAAAAAGAACAAAATAAAACCCTAAATCTATTTTTAAGTTCATACCTGCATTAAATAGCGTGTGTTACCTTGGTTAACAAACATGAGAAATATACTACTACTCCTTGGAATCTGTGAATCTTTGTGGCAATAAGTTTTTCTCCATGTGGCATTTCTTAATGTATATAAACAAATGAATTTCTGTGCTAACTTTAACACAATGTTATTAACTCAAAGCTTAACAACAATTTGACTATTTTAAAACTTTTTCTTTCTTGTTTTATTTATACATTTAGGTAACTATAACCAACAGCCTGTGGTTACAATCTTGTTTTCCTTTTCTGAGAATGACCTTTGTGTTGGTTAGAGGAATTGATGTGAAGAATCTTTCTTTGGGAACATATTTTAAATATCATCAAGGGTAATAAGAGAAAGCATTCAAGGTTAAGTTGAACATTTGTGTAATACTGATGGAAAGAGCTGTGATTATTTTAATTTTTTTTATCATAGAGCTAATAAACTCTCTTGCTCCCTTGAAGGTATGCTGATATATTGACTATGACAACATGAGAGTAGGAATATTGCACGTAAATTGTTTTTGCTGTGACATGATTTTTCTATGACTATACCTCTGATATACCTGCAGAAGAGAAATGTTTACGTCCTTATTATAGTTATTGTTGAATTCTCTCTGAATTCAGGAAAAAAATTTGATTTCTGTGTAACCTCAAAAGCTATTACTTTTATGTTAAAAATTTTCTCCTAGCAGAAATAGTTTTTTTGTTGTTTTGTTTTTTACTTTTTTGTTTTAGGTTGTAAAGAAAGATCTTTTCAGATAGGTTAAAGACAGGTGGAATTTAATTAAATATTTGTGAGTTTTATATCTTCTTATATAGTGTCTATTACGGTGATGTGAATGAAGGGCTCAGTAAATGCTTATTGACTGCCCACCCCCTATTTAACATATTTGTCAAATGTCTTTCCATCCCAGTTTAACTATGGGCTAGGGCCTTCTCATTTCAGAAAGCACAGAAAAGAAGTTTGTCTCTGCCAAAGATTCATAGTTTGCCTGCTCATATTTCCTTGAACATCAGACAGAAGTCATGGAAAAAGAGAAATTGAATTTATTGCATTTATTGTAGGCTTTGGTCTTTTATTGACCAATTTGCATGCTTGACATTATTCTCATAAATTAAGTGAATAATACAAACATTTCAGATATAAGTGCAGACAGGTGGATATTCTAGATGTAATTTGTTTGTTTGTTTGTTTGTTTTTTGAGTTGGAGTCTCACTCTGTCACCCAGACTGGAGTGCAGTGGCCGCTTCCGGCCACCACAGCCTCTACCTGCTGGGCTCCAGCGATTCTTCAGCCTCAGCCTTCCAAGTAGCTGGAACTACAGGCACGTACTACCACGCCTGGCTAATTTTTGATTTATTGTAGAGATGAGGTCTCGCCAAGTTGCCCAGGCGGGTCTAGAACCCGTGGGCTTAGGCCAGGGGTCCTCAAACTTTTTAAACATGGGGCCAGTTCACTGTCCCTCAGACTGTTGGAGGGGCGGACTATAGTTTAAAAAAAAAAAAAGGAATTTGTTCATAGTTATTTTTTTTAAACTATAGTCCACCCCTCCAACAGTCTGAGGGACAGTGAACTGGCTCCCTGTTTTAAAAGTTCGAGGACCTCTGGTAGGCAATCCACTCACCTCAGCCTCCCAAAGCACAGGA